AGTCTTTCCAACGCCTATAGGTGAAAATAAATAGTGATTTTTCCTATTTTTATCACTGTCCAAATTTCATAGTGCGGTCTTGATTGTCTGATAGTATTTTATTTTTAATTTTTTTTTCTACAAATCGAAATGACCTGAAATTTGTAGGGTATGTTCATCTTACCGAGGCGCATCTAATAAAAATATTAAAAAAAATATTCGTGAAAACTAAATTAATCAAAATACCTATGAAACTTTTTGGGGGTATTTTGGTTAATGTTTTTCATGTAAAATATTTTTTTTATAATTTTTGAAGATTCCCCTTCTTTTTATGAATACACAATCCAAATTTCAGGTCATTCCAATATGTAGAAAAAAAATAAAAAATAAAATACTATCAGACAATCTTGACAGCGTGATTAACTTTGGACGATAATGGAGGTTGGCAAAATCACTGTTCATTTTTGCCTATAGGTATTGCGTAGTGTTTTCCTATATATATATATATATATTATTTTATTTTATTTTTATTTTATTTATTTATTTATTTTCTTTTGTTTTTTCATGTTCATGATCATCTTAGCCTAGATCATAAATCCGTGAAATTTTAGATGAAAACTCGGTTTCTAAGATGGTTTAAGAGGGGGCTCACATATGTATAGTATAAATCGGCCGACTCCTAGAAACTATGTTCTAATATATATTCCATAGGTATTGTATACAACAAAATCATTTACCTTTGGTATAAAAAGACCACAATTACTCATGACAATAGAATATAGAATCTGATAGCTTGGGTGTGTCACAAAGTTCAAGAGCATGATTTTTTAACCTCAACCTAAGACAATATAATACATACATAATTTTACATCCAATAGTTAAAAATAGTTAAAAATAGTTATGACCGTCCTGTACAATAGCCTCATTACATACTTTGCATATTTTACATATTTTATTACACGAAAGGTGAAATGATATGGACAAAGCTACGAAGGTCACAGATTCTATTCCCACCTTTTCTTTTTCCAAGGTTTAACTTTAAAAACTATTTTAAGTGTTTGTTTAAAGGGAAAGGTTTACCTCTTAGTGTACCATGGATATTATTCCAACACGCTAACCACCCACTATATTTTAATATTTTGATAAAAATTAGAAATAAAATATAAATATACTTTTGTAACACTGATCCAGTCAAAGAACCGGATCGTCCACCAATGATGATGTTCGATCTGGAACGGTTAAACACTAGTTGAAACGGTAAGAGAGAGACTTTGTTGTTGATCTATTTATCTAGGGAAAATAAATTGATAGAGCTGCAGCCCTATCAAAATAAGTAAAGCCTCACTTTATAAATCATTAAAAATTACAATTTAAGCATTAGAAAAACTTTACATCAATCATCTTGGTTTGAATATTAAGGTTGTGAAAAAAAAAAAAAGATTTCAAGCTCTGAAAACATAATTATTATGACAAAATATTTAGACCGTCCATTTTGGTTTAAAATAAGTGTTCATAGATCCATAAGATCTGTACCACTTTTTTAGTTTCAAATTTCATTGTTGGTATTGAAAATTGATTTTAGAGCCTTTATGGAAATTTATATTGCCAAAAGTTCTTTTTAAACGAGGATTTGAGGTGGGACTTATGTTTTCATAAAGCCTACGCCTTACAAAAACCTCATCCTTTAACTAATGGTAAATCTTAATCTTTCTCACTATATTTGCCACCCCCCTTAAATATACAAAAAAGTCAATCTCAAGAAGTGTAGAGAGATGAAAAGCACTCTAAATTGTAGAGAGGTGAAAAAACTCTAAATGGTCTAATCCAAACAGGGCCATAAAAACAAATGCTGGTTAGAATTCTCTCTGCAAAAGATGCCAGATCAAAATTTAAACATTTGTATACAAGATTAATCGAAGAAACAGTAATAAAGTTTTTTTTGTTTCATTAGTGACATCAATAACCTTAAATTTCGATCATTAAAAGTTCACAATGTATTAGAGATTTCTTGATTAGACCTTACCCGGCTTTGGCTCGTCCCACAGGCACATAGGCCCTACACAAAGGCCGGCCCTGTCCATTCGATGTCTCTACAAACTCGGGCTCGAGCTCATAGAAAGAATTAAGTATTTCCCCGTAGCTGCGGCGCTTAGCCGCATGCGTCTCCAAGATAAAGGCCAAGGATGGGTCTTTGGGATCCAGTGTTCGGAATTCGGGCAGCACCTTGACATGCGTTAGCCTCACCTCATGTGGCATGCCGGGCAGCAAAACTGGTTCGGAGTCTTTGGGTATGGGCGAGCCATAAGCAGTAATGGCCATAGACAAGCAGGTGGCATAGGCACTCATGCCCATAAAAGTGAGGCGGGGTATGGATAGCTTCTCGGCGACATACTGAGTCCAATAGAGGAAGGTGTAGGAAATGAGGCAGATGGGGGGATTGACTTCTGCGATTTCTGATAGGGATTGCTCGAAGGAGTCGCGGAGCTCTTTAACCGCATTCAAAAAGGGAAGGAGCATGTCCATGGAGGGCAGCTGTTCCGTGCTTTCGCAACCTTTTGGCAAGTCTGGGTGCGATGGGAAAGGGAGGTCAGTGATGCAAATTCCGGGGTCTTGGGGGAGGCTCTGCTTGCAAAAAGGGGAGTTGGAGGCGGTGGAGAAGATGGTGAGCTTGAGTCCTCGGTGCAGGAGAGCGGCACATAGGTGGAGGAGTGGGATGGCATGGCCTCGAGACATGAAAGGGAAGACTGCTATGTGAGGTGCGGATGTCCGCTCCATGCTCAGGCTGGTGGGCTGAACGTGTATGAGCCGGCGGGTTAACTCAGGCTCGGCTGTGGTGCTGGCGATGGCTACAGAGACTTCAAGTTGGGTTTTACTGAGCACGGGGCTTTTTGGGAGCCTCATATAATATATTGCATGCAAGACGTGCTTTATGTTCTTCTTTCCTTCGAATTGCCGTCTAGCTTGTATTTAGAACATTGTCACATCATCTCTTCTCCATCTCTGGCAAAATATAAACCGGGTACGGTTTCTATAAGGCTGCAATTTTAAACAACCAATTAAGTCACACCTTAAAATTTTATCATAACATATAATTTTATTGTAAAAAATTCTTACTATTATCTTAAAATCTATATTTATATTTAATTATAAAATTTTAAATTCTAAAAACGGTTAAAATCAAGTAGATCTATAAATACATGAAAATCTTGAAAATAGACGGTTTAGATTTTATTCATATTCATACATCGTAATATCGAGATGATCGATTAGATGGCTTTTCAACATTAAAAAAACATTTCCAATAAATTTTTGAGGTGCATCTATAATTATGCATTTTAAGGTTGCAACACCTTATATAAACTCTTCCAATATAAAAAAGTGTTGAAACAATTTATAATCATTATAGGGTTCAATATTTCAAATTTTTCTTGAGGGTCTGCATCAATAAGGTACTTATTTTTAGAAAAATGTTGAAAATCTTTCCATTCGCTTTTGGTATTGGGAATTCATCATCATTATAGGGATCAATATTTCAAATTTTTCTTGAGGGTCTGCATCAATAAGGTACTTATTTTTAGAAAAATGTTGAAAATCTTTCAATTTGCTTTTGGTATTGAGAATTCAGCACAATCAAGGTTACTTTGATAATTTTACCCTTAAATGGCTTAATTGGAATACAAAGTTATACCTAAGTTTTTCGATTTGCCAATACTAAACATGGGTAATTTGGAATGTTTTAAACTTTTTTTTCCGAGGAAGTATGAAATTGATATAAAAATTTAAAAATATACCCTCAAAGTCTAATTTACAATTTTTCGACCCATTTAGTGACATTTTAAGGGGATTGAACGTCTTTCTTACGTTCCTCCCTAATTTTTTTACCATTGCCAGAAGAATATACTGCTGAGATATCCTAGTTTCACTCCCTCAGTGCATTATTGAGTATTTTTAATATCTCAAATTTTGGAGAGGTAACCTCCTCAATCTTGCATTAAACCTTAGAAAGCAAAAAAAAAATATGCATCCTAAAAATGATGTCCTACTATAACTAAAGATTGTTTAATATTTAGATGGTCAAATTTAAGTGTTCAAGAACTCAGAATAAAATAATTTTTCTATAAAATACTCATCAAGTGATTTTAATGTGGATTCCAATATTTCAGATTGATGAGATCCTTCCGGTAGGTCTTTTACCCAATGGAGTGGATATAATATGCTCCGGTGGAAGCATCACTTTAACCAATGTCTCAAAATCTAGATCGGCAAAGTAAACCGGCCTTCTAGAAGTTCACTCTGGACGAACTGGACCGATCCTTAGGTGTGATAATCATCCCAGAAAAATTAAATAATAAATTTTTAATTTGAAAAAAAATAAAAAATTTGAAATATAATAAAAAATAAAATGAAGGAGAACTAAAAAATTCGGCTTATTTCCGTCGTCAAATTCCTTGACACAATTGCTTAGTTCTTTGATAGAACTCCGTAATTTTGTAGGAACCAGACAGATTTCCAATTCTAACTTGGAACCCAAACAGTCCCCATCAAAACACTTATTTTAATCAAACAGACAATGATTACTTTGTTAATGGTTGATAACAAGGTTTAAAAAAGGGACCAGTAAACCAGATCGGCCACTCTAAAAACCGTGTTGAATTGGTGAATTGGCGATCCGACTCAGAGAATCAGCTGGATCAACAAGATTCAGCATTAAGAAGATTAAGATACAACATTAAGAAGATTTCAAAAAAAAAAAAGTGTTTTTTAAAAATTAAGTTATTTATGGTTTCAAAAAAATAATAGTATTACATTATAATTTTTCATTAGACGGTAAAATGTCTGTAAAAGTTCATCTTGGAAGCGTACTTCTGTTTTTATCTCGGCCTAGGTGTCACTTTTTTTTCTTTCTTAGCATCACTATCCTTATTTTCACCCATGAAAACGAGTTGTTTGGCGTCTTGGGCGAAGCAAAAATCATCTTTGGTTACCTAAGCCTCAAACGCGTAAGCGCACTGCTTTTGTTTTTTAGAGAGAGAAAATTATTCTTTTTTAGAGAGAGAAAATTATTCTTTTTTAGAGAGCGAGAGACTTCGAATCAATGTTAGAAAATTCAGGCGATCTAATCCATAACAGCCCGATTAGATCAAAACCGATCCCTTGTCGTTTCAATTTCGAACAGTTTTGATGATCAACTGGTGTTTTAAAATAAGAATTTAAAATATATATATATAAAATCTCAAAAATAAAGAATTTAATTTGTAATATATTTTTTAATATTTTTTACATTATAATAAATATTAAAAATTGTTTTGATCATTAATACTATCTTTTTTATTTTTCTATCTTTTTTGAAAAAATTAAAAAATATCCCTAGATACAAATCTATTATTTAAAATCCATTTTTTCCATTAATTTTCAACTTTATTTCAATGTGTTTTGTTCTAATCATTCTTTATATGCTTTTCATATTTTAGTAGATTTTTTTTGTATTTTTTTACTTTTTTTAATAACTTTTTGACCGCCCGGGACTTGCCCATTAAAACGGTTGAATTAGCCAGTTTATCGGTTAGGCCAATTAAACCGCTTTCGGCCCCATATTCGATTAACCATTTCGGATCGATTTTACGAACACTATGGGACATAGATAGAAAAATCGATCTTGTAGAGGTAACCCTACATTTGTTTATTTAATAGTTCAGATCCTAAATCTATATTGAACTGGTTTGAGATGAACCATTTTGCTTGAGAAGAACCATTATGACTTTTTATTGCGTAGTAGATTTCATTTGTGATGCCTCGTTGTTTATCCATTCTTTGAAGGGTTGTTCACGTAAATCATAGTGCTTGTTAATTTTTTAATTTCTTGTAGATATTTTTGTTCTTAATTCACAAGTAGACTACACGAGCAACAGAGGGCTTCCGATCTCCTATGTCTGGCTACTCTATAAGTAGATTGATGCAAATGTGAGTCAACTTCTCCTCGACCATGATTTTGGCTTATTGGTCGTTTGTTTTTTGTAGCAGACTTCTAAAAAATAAAAATATAGAAAATTGCCTGAAATTAGAAACTTGAAAGAAATTAGAAACAAACAAAACACCAAGATTCACATAAAAAACTTTAGAGAAGGGAAAAACTACAAGGCACTATAGAAGAAATCCAGTATGCAGAAAAAATAATTACAATAAAAATAAGAAAACTAAATGGTTACCTCTCAGTTATATCTGTAGAATCAATTTCATGTTCCTCCCCTTCTCAAAAGAGTCACTTCTTTCCAATCTTTATTGGAGAACACTAGCTTCAAACATATAAGAAGCCTCTAACCTTATGAGATTTTTTGGAAGAAAAACCTTCTGTAATAGTTTTCCGCGTTAAAAACCCTAAAGAGAAAATAAAAGACTTCAACTTCTCCATGTAATTTTTTGGCTTACTTCTCTCAATAAAAAAATAAAAAAACCTCTTTTTATAAAAAAAACTTAAATCTTTAAAATGGTTCTATTTCCCAAAGTACCCTTTTTTATTTTATTTTCTTGAAAAACTGGCCCTATCCTCATGGGGCTAGACTCACCATAAAAAGTCTGTAATAATCTCCCCCTCTATATCCAAGAGGAGGACTCCGATAGTGGATCTCATGCCCAATGTACGTATATTCAACTGTTACATATGCCTACCAAGCCCCTATAAAGCTTTGCTTATCCTTTGTTAGGGCCTTTATTGCAATCAGTATGGATTTTTTTTATTTTCTCAAAGAAATCATGTATCCAGTGATAACGGTCATCTATACGCTGCATTTGGACATGATATGTTGCATTCTTGCTTTAGTCAATAGTACTCTGACTATCACAATGATTCACAAGTCATCTTGCTTCAAACCCAGTTCCTTTAATAACCTCTTCATCTACAACAGTTTTTGACCTGCTTCTATAGCCACTATATATTCTACCTTTGTCATGGAAGGAGCAAGATACTTCTACAATTTGGACTGCTATGACAATATTCCCTTGTAAAAGTGAACAAATAATCTTATGTGGATTTCTTGGTATCAAGTCTCCAACCATGTTTGCATTTGTATATCCATCTAGCACAAGCTTTTCACTTCCAAAGCATAAACATAATTTGGATGTGCCCTTGAGATATCTAAGAATCCATTTTAGTGTTGTCCAATGTTCTTTGCCAATGTTGGTAAGAGATCTACTCACCACGCCCACTGTGTATGCGATCTCTAGCCTCGTATAAACTATGGCATACATCAAACTCTCTACCATTGAAGCATAGGGAACATCTTCTATTGCTTTCTTTTCCTTTTCATTTCAAGGACTTTGCTTGCACTGAACTTAATTTATCGTGCAAGTGGCATGCTAACTGGTTTTGCATCTTCATTTTGAACTTTTTCACCCGTTCAATATAAGTTTTCTATGACAACCATAAATTCTTTGTTTTCTCATGATTTTCTGTTTTCATGCCCAAATTTGTTGTGTTAGCCCCAAATCCTTCATGTCAAAGGACTCGCTTAATTCTTTCTTTAACATGTCAATTTTGTGAAGATCTTACCCAACAGTTAGCATGTCATCAAACATAAAGTAGAAAAATAATAAAGCCATTGTTAGAAAATTCAATAATTTGCAATAGTCTGCTTATATCCATGACACCATTATAAATGAGTGAAACTTCTTGTACCATTGCTTGGGGGCTTGTTTCAATATATACAAGTTTTTCTTCAACTTGTAAACCAAGTGTTTATTACTTATCACTTCAAAGCCTTCTAGTTGTTCCATATAAATCTCTTCCTTCAAGTCCCCATGAAGAAAGACAATTTTGACATCTAATTGTTCATCTCTAGATCCAAGCTTGTAGCTAGACCTCGAATCACATGAATAGTAATAATGTGTATACAAAAATAAAAATAAAATGTATAATTTTCAGTTGTCTTTTATTGTCATTGCATATTTGTGTAGGGATAATATG